GGGAACAAGCCTGTCCTGTGGGAGAACAGGGCTCCAGGCACACATGATGGGTTGGGATAGGGTTCATCCTGCACCAACATGCCCTGATCCCGCTCCCAGCACCTCTGTCCACACCAGGATCGGGTGGGGGATCAGCAGGGACCCCTCCCACCCCTTTGGGATCACCAGGCTACCAGAGCACATCCATCGACCAGGATGCTCAGGGATGGGGGAAAAAAAAGCTCAGACCACTTAATAAATCCTCCTCAGCCCGTTGTTCTGTGGCGAGAGAGACGCGTCCTGAGCCACACACGGGGCACGTCCTCCCCTCCCAGGGCCTCCGGGAGGATTTTCCCTTCCTTACCGCGGCTCCCGGGCATTCCCACCACACAGACTCGCCGAAACGAGCCCCCCTGGCGCTACGGGGAGATGCCAGACCCTCTCTTCCCAGGGCTCTCGGGATGGGATCGCCTTCCTCGGGAGCGGCCGCAGGCAGGAGCGGTGCCCAAGGCCGGCTTTTCCCGGCGAGACGAAGGGTTTTGTTTTGCCGGGAACGGGGCGGCAGCAGATGGAAGGGCACTGGGACAGCGGGGGTTTTCCTCTCGCCGCTGCCCACGCTCGCTTCAGGCATTGATTAAGCGCGTTAATTAGAAAAATCACCATAATAATTATTAGAAAACCCCAAAACACAGAAATAAAGCCACTCTCTCCCTTTCCGATGTGCCGCGCTCGCCGGGACAGCGATGCCGAAGGTTTGGGATGCCCCGGTGGGGGTCCGAGCTGGGTTAACGGGGGTCCCCCCCGTATCCCCGACCTGAACCCCCCAAACCAGCCCTGCCCGGGCGCTGCCGAGCGGGCAGCGCTCCCTGCCCTGCCCTGCGCCCTCCCAGCGCGGGATCCCCCCCAACCCAGCCCCTCCAGCCCTCCCAAAAACCACTGGGGTTTTGCTTCCCCCCTCCCCTTTTTTTTTTTGCTCAACACCCCTCGACTCGCAAACGCGCTCTGGAGACGCGGACCCGGGGGGGCCCGGGGGGACACGAGGGGACTCGGGGGGACGCGAGGGGATCCCCGGGCTGCGGACTCACCATGGGGCGGCGCGGGGGGGTCGGTGCGGCGGGAGGATGCGGGGGGTGGGTGCGGGATGCGGGGCTGGCCCGGAGGGGCGGGCGGGGGGCGGACACGCTTGCGCACAGAGCGGGATGGGCGGTGGAGGGAGGAGGAGGAGGAGGAGGAAGGAGAGAGGGAAGAGCATCCCGGGAGCTGCAGGCGCCCGGTCCCCGCATCCTCGGCACGGGAGAAATGGGGGAGGACAACCACCCCTTCCCCTGGCCCTGCGGACCCCCAAAAATCATAGCGCTGGGGGCAGCCCCTTCCCCAGGCCACTCCCTGAAATGCCCCAAAATTGGATCACAGCAAATTTTTAGAGGCAGGCAAAGCTTTTCCCACCAGGTCACTGAGTCAGGGATTTGCATCGTCTCCCCATTGAACCCCCACGAGAAGATGCTCTAAACCATCATGAGACGACACACGGAGGATGTGGGGTTGATTTTGCTTAAAATCGTCCACCCATATTAAGTATTTTTCTTTTTCTTGCAAATAAATTAATCCCCACTGCAGGAATGCCCCATATCCAGCCACCTCTTTCTCCCACGGGATTCCATTTCCATCCCACCCCACAACACACAAAATCAGCAGTCAACCCTTTGAGGTTTTTTATTTCCCTCGGGATTTTTTTATTTCTACAGTCCCAAACCCATTTCTCCTGCGCTGGGGTGGGTTTTGCCAACCCCTGAGGCAACATTAATGCTGATCTTTAAATGGGAAATATTGTCAAATATTGGTGCTGGAGGAGGCAGCTCCTTGCTAAAGGCAGCAAAGTTTATTCTTCTTTTTCAAGCAAGAGACAGCAGGAACCTGGAAGGCACCACCAGCTGAAGACTGACGTGTCCAACACCAATATTAATCAATAAAATACCCGTGGAGCTGATGGATCCAGTTTTGCCAAGGGAATTTCATCAATATTTCAAAAGCATCCTCACCTTGTCCTTCATCCTCCCTGGGATGGGGTTTCCTGGCCATTAAGTGGGGCAGAGTTTTACTCGTGGTGACAAGAAAACTCACCATAATTAGGTTTTAATTGCCATGGGCTCGTAGACAATCCAGGGATAATTAGTGGGGCCACAGCTCAGCGGGGGGAGCTGGGATTTGCTTGAAGGATATTTTGACCCTTCGGTCTCCTGGGTTCCCCCGCTCGGTTTATTGCATCTGAAAACAATAACCAGCATTCAATAAAGCTCCAGCAATAATAATGCATCCCAAATGTCTGTTCTTACCGTGCCCCCAAGACAGAATATTAAAAGAGGCTGCAAAAGAGGCTGCAAAGCTTCACTTCCCAGGATCTTCTCCAGGTCCCCAGCAGCCCCCTCCTGCTGGTGATGGTGGATGGGCTCATTTTGGGGTGATGGTCTCCATCCCCAGCATCACAGTTTGGGGAAACAATGGTGATCCCATGCCAAGCACTGGACACAGGCTGTGTCCATCCCACAGGAACATCAGGACACCTGCACACAGCAGTTGTGCACCCATGTATCTGTGACATACCTGCATTTCCTACTCACATTTTGGGTGACCCAACTCCCTTGGGTGGGCCCGAAAACCAGCCATGAGCTTCCTGTGGCCACCAAAGCCCCAGCAGACAACAGGGTTCTAAAACCCACCAGGAAATGGAAATGTATTTGCTGCCGTAGCAGAGTGCCGGGAGCAGTCACTGCTAACGACTACACCCTGCCCTAATATTTAATTTACAAAGGACAAATTGCCAGTTGGATTAATTCAGCATGATGAGTGGCGAGTAATTTGGAGAAGAAAAGTGGAGGGGGGGGGGAAATCCGGGCTGTTTGAGAAGTGATTTTGTAACGAGCTCTGCCATCACCCAGTGCAGAGCCAGTCGGAAATAAAAGGGTTTAGGGAACGCCCCGGCTGCAGCAGCAAGGAATGGGACTGGTGTCCTGCCTCAGGAGGGCACGGGCAGGAGGTTCTGCCATCACACCACGGCTCTGAAAGGGTGATGAGGCCAAAGCAGGCACCAGGCAAGCAGGATCTGTTAATAAAGGAGGAAGGGGATGCCCTTGGCCAGGCTTGAAGCATCTGCTCCACAGGGACAAGAATGGGGTGATTCATGCCCAGCACAAGCCGGCTTTGTCCTGCAGACCACCTCGACTCACCCTTCCCCAAGCCACAGCCTGGGAACACTGTCTGGCTTTGCAGACCCAGCCCTGGGACCTCAATAAATCCTTTGAAGGCTCCAGATCCATCAGAATCCTTCCCATTGACCCCTTCTCTTGGGACAGGCAGGGACAGCCCCCCATCCCTGGCCCCATCTATCCCACAGCTCCCCAGGGAGATGGGTGATGCTTACTAGTCTCCCAGGAAAACGATTCCTCCAGCAGGAGCCAGACAGATGGTCTGTGGAAGATGTGCTGCTTGGTTGTCTCTCACAACCCTCAGAGAGTCTATTTTCAAGACTGAGGGTGTTTTTTCCATACCTGAGGACCAGGGAGGCTTCTCAGGAGACAGGATGGGTTATTTAATCATCTCCCTGGGTTGGCCTGGGTGGGGACATAGAACTGGGTTGTTCTCTCACCCAGGGAGACCGAGCTCCCTTTTGGCACAGAAAATGCTCTGGTATTGAAAAAAAATCATCCCTTTCCCTTAGCAGCTTAAAACCTGGAGAAAGGGAGAGCCAGGGGACAGCCAACCCCACTGACCACCTCCAGATCCTAAAGCTCCCCAGCTCCCCAAATCAACTCTGGCCCCTGCTGTGCACTGCTCCAGAGGTAGGCAGAGCAGAAGCAAGAGGGAAAGGCTCCCCCAGGAGATCACTGCAGTTTTCTTACCATGGATTGGAGTTTTAGACTCATAGAATAAAGTCAGAAAATACCTCTAAGATCATGGAGTCCAACTGTTAACCCAGCAAATGGGAATTTCTGAAGGGAGACAAGGAAAGGTGGCTGTATCCAGCTGCTCTGCCTCTCCCTGCTGCTAAAAGGTACGAGGGAACTGCCTGACCTGAATATCTATAAATGGGATGAGCTGAGCAAAGCCCTGGGGCAGCCCTGATGATGCCACTTGCACTCCAGCCGGCTGCTCCATCACAGCAGCTTCCATGCACAGCAGCAGCCCTGAAAAAAACAAATCACATCTGGTTTTTCCTCCCATCAGCAAAAAAAAAAAATAAAATAAACCACACAAAACACCCCTGTTGGAGCTCAGCTTGTGGAAAGGAGCAAAGAACTGGGTGCCAGAGAGATGATTCCTGCGATTCCACCCTGGTTACTGATCAGAAACCAGAGCCCCTTCTGGCACCAAGAGCTCATGAAGAATTTAGAGGTTGGTGTCCAGTGGAATCAGTGGCTGGGTGGCAGAGCAAGCTCTCTCCATGCAGAGAAATCGGTTTTTCCCACCACAGTGGATCATGAAGTCCAACTCCTGGCCCTCCCCTGCCCCACCACCCCCTCGGCAGAAGGAAGAGCACTATTATTTATTTTTCTTTTTCCCCCATAATCTTTGCAAAACCTTGAGCAGGCTCTGGCAGGAAGGGCTGCCCTTGCACACAAGGTCATTTCAGATGGAGATGATGAAGGAGCAGTGGAGGTGATGGCTCTGGGGCTGGGATCAGGCAGCACACAGCGTTTGTCTCCACGGAGCCAGCCGGGAAGGGCGAGGACTCGGTTAGTCACTGATTCATTTGGAGCAAGACACCCCTCCCTGCCCCAGGAAAGCTGCAATCCCTTTCCCAGGGGTAAATTCATAGGAGATACATGAAGCTTTCTAAGGACAGTGTGCTTTTTGGACCTGTCTGTCTGGCTACTCCCCTGTCTGGGCTGACATCTGGGGACAGGGATGGTCCTTTGGCTGGAGAAGATGGATACACACAGCCCCTCCTGCCCAAACCCTCCTGGATGCTCACTGCATCCCAGAGGTGCCCACTCCAGGGTAAAATCCAGCACACTCAAAAGGGGTTTATTCAATCAATGTTTTAATGGACTTCAACAGACAACACAGTTTCCATAGCAAAGGATCATCAGCCCCACCTTGTACAAAAACAGAGTTAAAAAACACGAAAGCAACAAAACCTTAAAAAAACAAACAAACAAAAAAAACCAGTAAAAGAGCTATTCATTAAAAAAATATGATACAAAAGCACCTCTCCCTGCTCACACTTTTCCTGCCTCCTGGAACTTCTTAAACAGGGGCTCATCAGCCCGCAGGGGGAAGGTCAGGGCCCGTTTCTGGTAGAAGGTGGAGTCCATGGCCAGGTTGTCGATGACATCAGCCAGGAGATGGGCTCTCTCCACAGAGCTGCCCGGCGCGTCGTGGCCCACGGCGGTGAAGTGCACGTGCAGGTGGTAGTAGGAGGGCTGGTAGTGCAGGTAGATCCTTAGCTGGGAGCCTGGCACCCCAAACCGCTTCACTATGGCCTCCTAGGGACGGGAAACACACGGGTCAGGACTGCCAACACCTGGGAATGGGCGGAAAGGAGCATTCCTGGATGGCAAGGAAGGCGTAGGGAAAGGCAGAAGGGATTTCTGCTTCCTCACTGCACGGGAGAGGGGGAAGTTGTGAAGGGCAGAGCTCTTCCCACCCTCTGAGCCTCAGCAGGGATGGAGTGATGCCTCCAGCTGCTCCACTTTTCTCCCTCCGTGACAGGACGTGCTCTCCACTCCTATCATTTTCCCTTCCACCCTTATCGCTCCGGCTCATTCAGGGAGTGACAGGGATCCTGTGACCAGCCAGTGTAATTAAAGCTATAAACAGCACCAGTGAACTCCGGCTCCGTGTGCTGCAATCCCCTGGCTAATCTCTTAATTAATCTCCCACTTTCCCCAGTGCAATTACTTTCCAAAATCTAACGCAGTGAAGGAAAGAGAAGCTCCTGCACATCCATCTCCCAAACACACCCTGTGGAAAAACACGTCAGCTGGTGAGGATGGAAGGAATCGGGGAGGAGGCTGTTGATATGGGGAGGATGGGGAGCTCACTGTTAACAGGAAGGATGGAGCACCCCTAAAGCACCTTTGACATGGCATGACCTGGGGAAGGTGCTGATGGAGAGCAGGGATCGGGGTCTCCAGGCAGAGAGAGCAGCACAGCCCTGTTTTGTGATATATCATCTGCTTATCAGTCTCCAGGCAGATGCTGTGCCAGAAAATCCCGGCAGTGCCCTGGCAGAGGCAGCCGAGCCCTCCCTGGCCAGGACAGCAGTGTGGGACCAGCCTGAGGCTCACCTTCCCTTCCTGCAGGACGTTCCTCAGCAGCGGGAGGTGCTCGGCCGTGAGGTCCCGCAGAGACTTGATCTCCCGGCGGTGCACGACAGCCACCAGGTACAGGTCATCCAGCTGCAGAGACAGAGGGGCATGCAGGGGACACAGAGAGAGCAGATGGAGGCAGCAGCACTTTGGACCTGACACACCATCCACAGCTTCCCAGGCTCTGTTATACGGGGATACCTGTGTCATACAGGGGTACCTGCCCTCGTGTTCAACCCACACCCAGGCTGGGCTGAATCTCCACGTACAGGATGTGCTCACCCACAAACCCACTGCACCTCAGAACATTTCTGGACAAACTGGGGTTTGTCCAGGAATAACCAGAAGAGAACAGCCTCATCCCAACCAACAAACAGCAGGATGACAAACGCCTTCTCAGCTCTGAAGGCAGATGGAGTGATCAGCTCTTCACACCACAAGCACCACGCTCGGTGCTGCCCCTGCACGTTCACAACATCTCCCTGAGCACCTCAAAAACGCTGTCCCTGTGGCACTGAGGCTGGAGACCTGGTGCAGGTGCTCACCCAGCTACATGGGGGGTCACCAAGGTGCCTGGGGTCTGTCAGCACCCCCCGTGCACACTCCATGGCCTTCTCAGAGATTCATCTCCCTGCTCAGATGAGGATTTACAGTGAACCACAGAGGCCAAAATTGCAACTGTAGATTTTTCCCAGTGAAAAGCTTCCCACTTTTCCACTGTGCAAACAGCTGGCCACTCTCCAGTCACAGCAGTTCTATAAATAACAATTTTCAAGACTAATTGGTCACTGTACAACCTCAGGGCACTGAAATATGCCCGTTCAGCAGCTCTCAACCAGACCTTTGGCATCTCCTGGAGCTCTTATCACATTCAGTGTTTAACAAGACATAAGGTTGTGGATCATTATGCTTTAAAAACATTAAAATCCCAGTCTCCTTCAGCTCAGTTAGTGACTTTCTAATACAAACACTGAAGGGTTTGGATGTGTGAAACCCAGCAGATCTCTTGAGCACTGTGAGAAACCCACGTGGCTATTTGGAAACAGATGCATGTGCCAAAGGATGCTCTCAGGACCCTCAAGGGGGCTGTTCCATGTGATTCCCATGCACAGCTCCAGAAAAAGACAGTGTATCAGGTCGTGCTCTTTGGCTCCAGGCTGGCTGGTGGGAGGGAAAGCAAACAGCTCCTCTCCTTAGAACAACATCTGCATGTTGCTGTTTGAAACAAATAAGCCTGTTGCTAAAAAGGCCCGGAATGATGTCATGGCAGGCATCGCTTCAGGCAACGCCTCGGGCCCCCTGCGGGTTTGAAACCAACTCAAAAGTTGTGGAGGGGAAAAAAAACATACCAAAAAATTAAAAAAAAAAAACAAAACCAAAAATCCCAGTGATAACAAAAACTCCAAGAAACCACCTCCAACCACTACTGAGGCTGGGCAGCAGGAACCCAGAAGGTTGAGGACGGCAGGTTTCACAGCGCGAGGGAGAAATTTTCCTCCCATCTATCAGCCTAAAATAATTCCAGGTGAATTTGCATGATTTGAGGGCCAGGTGCTAAGCGAGTGCGAGGCAATGCTGCTGACAGGACTGAGGGAGGGCTCGGAGAGTCCTGCTGGGAGCTGTGTCTGCTTCCCAGGCTCCACTCGGCGGCCTCGCTGGCTGGGTGGGATGCGGCGGGAGGAGCCACTGCTCCTGGGAGGAATCAGTGCTCCCGGAGGAACCAGTGCTCCTGGGAGGAATCAGCGCTCCCGGGAGGAACCAGCGCTCCCGGGAGGAACCAGCGCTCCCGGGAGGAACCAGCGCTCCCGGGAGGAACCAGTGCTCCTGGGAGGAACCAGTGCTCCCAGGCAGCCCCGGGGCTGGCAGGATCAGCTCTGGCTCAGGGTCACCCACAGCCAAGATGAAATTCCTTGGCTCAAAGGCAAAGCTGACAGCCCTTCCTGGGATGCTGGCTGGCCTGCCTGGGAACCAGACCAGCAAAGGGCCCGGATCGCTCCAGGGATGACCAGGGTGCAGACAGCAACTCAGCAGTCAGGGAGAAATCCAGAAGATCCTGTTCAACATTCCAAGAGGCGACAGGAGCATGGGGAAGCCTCCCCTAAGGACAAATCCTACCACTGAGGTGCTCCCTGACCATGCCAGCTGGGAGATGTGGATGCAGCAGGTCTCTAGGGGAAGCTGAAGCACAAATTTTAGCCCAATCCTGATGTGAATTGCAAAGCTTGGTTGCAGCAAGTAAGGATTTCCACCAGACTGCTCACAGCTGGGAGAGGGACAGCATGCTGCATGTTTTAGGGTCCTCAAATACTGCCCCCCTGGAAGGGCACTGAACAAGGCACAGTGGCACAGCCTGAAAGCCTGACTTGTTGCAAAGTCCCTGCAGGAAGAAGGTAGTGCCTCCAGTGAACAAGTGGAAATTCGAGCTTGGTTACCCCATCACAGCTCAGCAGGGGATTTTTGGAGCAGCTGATGTGCAGGGAATTCACGGGGAGCAGATACCACCCTGCAGTGGTGTCTGTGCTCCCCAGGTCACTCCCCGAGACAACTCAGCACCACACCACAAACAGCTGCTCCCCACACAGACACACAGGATGGTGCTGCCCACCATTGCAGGCTCCTGTTCCCATTTTTTTGAGCTTTAGTTTCATTCCTAAGCCTTAATCATATGGGAAATTTGCCTGCCTGCCACCTGCAGAAGCAGATGAGGATCAGAAACACAAAGGGGACTTTTTTTTGACGCCACCAACTTCTCGGGGAAGGCGGGGAGGGGGGAGGTGTCTGGAGTTTCATCTCCCCAAAAGTACAGCATGAAAGGGAGGTGGAGCACAAGGAAATACTTCTCAATTTAGGATTACTGCCTGGGCTTAAAAATCATTTTCACCAAGTGGCCACTCCCACGAGGGGTGAAGAAGCTGCTCAGCAGCCAAGGACCATCTGCTTAAAGCTGTGGAGGAGAGTTAATTGCAGCAGCCAAAGGATAACATTCTTGCACCTAAAGTCAAGGCTTGCAAAAAAAAACCCAGAGAAGCTCAGCAGGAATAAATATGCAGGTTAAAAAAACATCCCAACAACTTCTGGGCTGATACAGGAGAGGAAGTGAACCCAATAAATACATGGCAGCAGCAGTGAGAACAGCCTGGGTTCTGCAGCATCCACAGTGGGCACAAGTGTGAACACAAGGACACAGGCACCCACTAAAACTCTCATCAGGGTGCTGTTTGTAGCCTGAAAATGGACATTTCTTCTGGATAACCTTCAGACAGGCAGCATTAGAGAAGCAAACCAACCTGGTTTTGATTCCACTTTAAATCTGGAACTAGAACAAAGCCATTGGAAGGATCTGGGTTTTCATGGACGATTCTCTCGGTCTCAGCTTTCTTCTCCAGGATATTATACACCCACTGAAAGAGAAACATATGATTTATAAACCAGCAGAGAATATAAAACCCAACATCTCAGGTGCATTTAGCCCAAGCTCATGGATTATTGCACATTCCCTGCAACTGGAATATAAAAAAACCCCAACTCCAATGGCTTGACTTTTAGGACAACCAAATAATTGTCCATAAAACCCTCCAACAACCAACAAGCTACAGGATATTATGAGCACTTCAGTGAAAAGCAGTGGAACTCAGCTCTTGTGGGGCTCAGCACACACCACTTGCAGCACCCCAAGCTGCACCAAAATCTTTACAACAGGGTCTGGGAAGGGAACTTGGCTGATTTTGTTCCCTGTCCAAAGAGGAAGGTGCAGATTGCTCACAAGCCTGAGCTGGATGCAGCCCTGGCTGCTGGCAGCTCCTGGGGTGGGACACAAAAGGCCTGGGTTTTTTGGGCAGTGCACATCTCTTGGCTCCCTGGCTGATTAGGAAACAGCTCACCACTCTTCTTCTTCCATATTTATAGTTCCAGCCTCCAGACTTCTGTAAGCCCTGCTCTGGTTAATCCCCCCATGCTCCTCCTGCAAAGCAAAGCACCATTCAGAGAAGAGTTTTGGAAATGGCAGAGACCAGGGATCAGGAACAGAGTAAAACCAGAGAAAAGCATCTTTGCTCTCTCTGGTTCCCAGCCTGAGCTCCAGCATCCTTCTGTACACCTCCAAAATGCACATTATGCTCTAGCTTAAGCCTAGCTTAAGTACTGCCAAGGGAGTTCCCAGCCATACCCCCAGAAGACAACGTAAGGCAGCAGGAAATTGCTGGAGCTTGGAAGCTGAGAATGTTTGGAAACATCATTTTCCCCACCCAAATATGGGTATGGAACATCCTGGTTGCCCCAGGTGGGTAGGGGAGGTGCAGCCAGTCTCACAAACAAATCTCTCTGGGTGCTGTGCACACCAGACACTTTAGGGGAACTCCATCCAGAGTTTAATTAATCTAATCAAAACTTAGCATCACTGTGAACTGACGTGAATACATCTGGAGGGAGAAAGCAACTTCTCCCCTGATCTGGGGTTTTTTTGCTTAAATTTCTGGCCTTTTCTTCTCACCAACATCTTAGAGATTAGATTCTCCCAGTGATTCTGGAAAGCATGGCACAAGCTCGCTGTGCTCTGTGACCCTGGGAGGAAAGCTCAGCAGGAAGCTCAGCAGGAAATGGAAATGTGGTCTTTGTTGGGGTTTTTGTGCCTGCTCTGATCACAAGTGCCAAGCTATCAGTGCCCTAAATAAGTTCACTGATCAGATGAGCTGCATTTTAAACCCAAGGCTGCCTCGTGATGGGGCAGGTCCCCAGCTGACTGACTGCCCCTGCTGCTCCCAGCACAAGCCCAGCGAGGAGAACACATGTCCAGGGACTGGCACCACAATAAAACCATTATCCTGAAAGCATCCACGCTCTGCATCCTCCAGCAGGAAACACAGACAGCTCTGTGGTCCCCTGGTACTTCTGTTACCCTTCACATTTTCCTTTCCACTCGGCAGAACCAGTTGGATAAAGACAAGGAGCAGCATTATCAAACCCCAAAGGTCAGGGACTGACTGTGCTGACCATGATTCCTCAGCAGATGTTCCTGATGGTCACCAGGAATGTGTTTCCATGCACAGAAATCAGCTCACAAGCACTTGGTGGGAGAGGCAGAGTGAGAGCTCAAGCCATTCCTGAGGGCAGCTGCTACACCAGGAAACTCAACAGCTTTAGGAGCAAAAGCATGGATAAAACATCCTACAGGCTGTGACCAGGTGGAAACACACCCTTGCCTTTCTCCAGCTAACAAATGATGCAGTTTAATGCAGCAGGAAAGAGGTGGGGGGGGTATCCAAGGCCCCCCTCATTGGTTTGGGGGCTTATTTTTAATGGATCCCCTCAGCAAGGATTTGTTTTATTTTCCCTTCTGCACAAGCTGGCACAAATTGGTCCCTACAGACTTGTGCTCCTTTGGTCCCTAAAGGAGAAAGTTAGGGAGGGGGAAGGTCAAAAAGGATAGAAACAGGGGAAAAGTCTGGGTCTCCCTGGGGCAAGGAGAACACTAAAAGTAACAGTTTCACCACACAGAATATAGACTGAATATGAATGGCAGGAGCTGCAGCCAGAGCCCAAGGAGTGAGTTCTGATGCAGGAATCTAAGAGCAATCTGTGCCTTTCCATTTACACAACACCCCAGAGACTCCTAAAAAGCCCAGAGAACAGCACCAACGCCCAGGGAGCCACCCTTGGAAAGGAGGAGTGCCTCAGCTTTTCTCCAGAAACCCTGGGAAAGGCAACTCGGAGTACAGGTCCAAGGCAAATGTTTTTCTGCAAAGACAGAAAAGGATGTCCCAGCCAGCCAGAGGAGAGGGGGCAGCACCACAGAGCTGACAACACAACCAAAAGGGAGATGGGGCAGGGCACTCCCAGCTCTTCAGCCTGGGCTCTGGAGGAGACTTTTGACAGCCCAGAGCATTGGAGACCAAAGACATCGTCTCTGCAGGGGCAGGTGGTGGTTTCCATACCTGGATGCTGAAGCTCTGGGACTGGATGAAGGGCAGGGTTATGTTCTGGTAATCCTCCCAGGTCTCCCGGATGAGGTGCACTTCGTGCCGGAGGTACTTCTGGATGTGTTTCTCCGTGGCAGGGTACACCACTGTGGCCTTGATCTCTAGGAACAAACACGGGGACTGAGTTACCAACCCACATTTGCCTCCTTCAGTCCCCAATAAATCTGTTTTCCTTTTCGATAAATGCCACACGAAGACATTTTGAAGAGACACCGCTAAAACAAGATGAGGGAAAATGGACATGGAAAGCAAACAACTGCTTTAACCTCCCACACTGCTGCTGCTTTTCTGGAGGAAGGAAGAGCCAACAACACAGCCAGGGCCTGTCTTTCCAGTCCAGGTGGAGGAGTTTGCTGTCTGGAAGGGTTTTCCCACACTTGTTCTTTCAAGCCTATCAGCAACATCAGGGCAGAGCTGGAGCTCCCAGGGCAGGGTTTATGTGCAGACAACAACCAGGATGGAAACACGACCCCAGGGACAGGGATGCTGCTTCCTCATACTCAAATCCAAAGCTCACGGGATGCACCCAGCAAATTTCTCCAGCCACAAACCCAGAGGAGCTCCAAGGAGCAGATCCTTCCCAGAGCTCTCAGGGTGCTTGGCCTCGAGGCTCAAGTGCAGGAGGCAATGAGGTCAAGGGCACAGGGACAGATCCAGAGCAAATAATGTGGGCTGATGGGTCAACAGAGAGCAGGATGAGCTGAGGGAAGAGGGCTGAGTGACCCCCTGCCCACAGAAAGCATTTCCCCGTTTACTCTGGCAGAAAAAGCCATCTTCTGTTTGCCTTAAGATTAGAACTTTGCTGTCTAATTTCTGTGGCATTAAACAGGTTGCAAGTGTTCACCTTGTTGACCTGGCAGCTCTGACGTTGGCAGCAGTAAATCGTACCCACAAGGGGTAAAACCCTTGGCAAACATCCCTCTTTGGCCAAGATTGGATGTGTGATACAGAGCCTGACACAACTCCAAGGGCATGGGAGTGCCTCTGCCTCCCCAGCTAACACAGAGCTGCCATAAACATCAATGCAAGGGGGAGAAAAGCCCTGTGAGCCCAGGCAAACCCTGGGCAGGCTGGACTGGACTGAGGCATGTGGTTGGGGCACTGTGAACACTACGGTCTGTGCCCAGGGTCTGCCATGGAAACCCATGACCAAAGCCATGCCTTGTGCTTTATATATGTTTATATGCTAGCCAGACACTGAATATAAACACCTATTTGTTCCTAGAGCCAGGATTTAGGGTGGTTTGAGCCTTTTTTAGTTTTCTGGTTTCTGTTTTTTTAAGGTCAGTGCTGTACAAGCCCAGAGACTCTGCCTTTTCATTCCATGCCAAACCCAGCTTAATGAAATCCACAGGAAAATGCTGGTAACATGAAATATGAAAATGCAAACCACAAGGGCAGTCTGGTCTGATTCCCACCATACACATGTTCAAACAAGGTTGTTTTCCAGGACTCTATTAGCACTTCTAGCAGGATGATGTAATACCAAAGAAAAAAAGACAAGGCTGTAGCTCTCCTCACTTAAAAAGACCAGCAAAGCACTGGGGAGAAAACAAAAAAGGCAAAAGATAAAATACCACAGCCAGCCTCAGGCGGAAACTTCCACAGTTTAATTTTAGACCCCAAAAGAAGAGCAGGGACTGCAGCAGAAGCCCCTCCATGCTGGGTGGTGGTAACCACAGTGCCCGGGGTTGCAGGGGACCCAGAATGGCTTCCCTGGCACCCCCCCAGTTTGGAGAGGGCTGCTCACACTGGGGGAGAGCACTCGGGGGGCTTTAAATCAGAGATCACAGAACTCCTGAACTTGCAGCTGCGCCTGAGCAGATGTTTGCAAGAGGAGAGGGGGGAGAGGCTGTGGTTCACTAACGATCATTTCCCTTCTAAAGGTCTCATCAACCCCAAAATGTCCCAGCAATGCTAATTAGCATCAATCACTGCAGCCAGAGAGGCTGTTTGATACTTGCTCAGAGCCTCAGAGTCCTTAGGAGCTGCACACAGGATGCCCAGGCTTGGACACAAGAACCATCCACCACGAGACTGGGCTCGCCCCGGGATCGTTCCAGCGCTGGCGCGCGGCCGCACGCTCCCACTTCCAGGCCTGCTCCTGGCAGGCTCCACATGCACCAGAGCAGCACGTAGGCTGTGGGGCACCCGAAACCTGCCCCAGCCTGGAAACAGGGTAAGGAACCACTGGACATGTGATGGGGCTTTCTGAGCTGGCGGAAGGGTCAGGGATTGTCTCTGCTCATGCCCAAGTCACATCAGTTCCCAAACGCCAGCCCCGGACATCACGGAGCATCTGGGGTTTATTTTGGAAGTCAGGATTGACCATCAGTTAACTAGAGGTGATAAAAAAACTCAGGAGGTTTAATTGAAGGAACCTGGATGAGCAAGAGGTGCAAATACTGCCATGGCAGAGAAAACTGACCGGGCTGTTCACCCTACAAAGGGTGTTTGAGGGCAAACACCACGCTGGGAAACTGCCCAGGAGAAAAGGATGCTCAGATTCACCAGACACACACTCCTCCCCTCGTCTGCTAAAAACAAGAGAGGAAAACACAACCCAAGACACAAGAAGAATCAAAACACCAGCTCAGTTTGGGGAACTGAAGGGAAAAAGAGCTGAAGGCAGCTGTTGCCAGGAGGAAAGGATGAAACACAAAGTAGAGAGAGCTCATGCACATAGGAAAGGGCACTCCAAGCTCACTAGTGATGCCTCTTCCCCTTTTGGGCCACACTGTCCCCAGGCTCTGCCAAAATTCCCCTCCAGGCCCATCAGTGAGGAGAGGGCTGGTGGTGGCTTCTCCCACCCCACTCAGCAGCACTGACATGGAGCACTGTCAGCCTGTTTTAAACAGATTTAAAGCTCCCAGGGAGCCACAGGGCAGGCAGAACCTGTTTCTGCTTTTGGGCCTGTGGTGTGCTTTTTCCTCCCTGTGCTAGCAGGAAGCTGAGTGTTGGTTTACAACATGCCCAATCAACTTGACCATCAAGTGCAGGAAGTTGCCAAAGCCAGGGAACAACAGAGACATTTCATTTGGACAGGTTTTCTTTGCCAGCCTTGTTCCTGCCACATGCAGCTCTGGGCTGCCTTCCCATTATCAGGTGTCTCCTTGGATGCAGCCCTAAGTAAATATAGAATGCTCTAAGCCAATATTTAATGCCTTAAGCCAACATATAGCACACAACCTCCCCCACCCTTGCTGCATAAATAGTTTATTTACTTTTAGGATCACAACTGCACAGGGGTCCAACCCAACCCCAGCCAGGTACGACACAGCTTTGGCTCAGAGAGCTGGGGCTCTCCTTAGTGAATGAATTAAAGCCCAAAAGGATAAAGCTTGTAAGAACTCCCAGTCTCCATGGCCAGCACATGCCAGGGCAAGCCAGGGGCAGTGCCAGTGACTCAGCCAAGGCTGCCTGGGCTCTGGGGCTCATCCCAGGATATGGTGGGTTCAGCTGCAACAGCCACTGCAAAGGGGAAATCTGCAGGTTACCACCCCTCAAAACACAGAGCAAAGCACGGTGATACCTCCCACTGTCCCCCAAACCACCCCCACACTCACACAGCTTCAGGCTCCAGCTTTTGATTTCAGTGTAAATGTGAGGTTTCTTGGCTGGGCAAGCTCCAGAGGCAGCTGGAGCATGGAAACACCGGGAGACAGACTGGCCTTCCCAGTGCAGCTCCTGCAAGTTTCTTCAGCTCCTTGCTGACGGAAACCAGCCTCTTTTTGGGACAGAGATCATTTCCTGCATGACTGAAAACTTTCCTTCTACACTCTCCTATTTTTCCCATAATTTCTCCACCCTATGTTGGAGCGAGGGAGACAGAGTATCTCCTGTTGTGCTTGGTTTTAGATGTTATTAATAAGCCTGAGCCCCACGTAAAGGTTCCTTAAAGGACTGATAAGAGCCCTTACATGGCTTTGGTGCTGTGGAACACACAATCCTGCAGCAGCCAGGCAAGAGGAGACTTTTTGCTGGAAACATTAAGCTCTCCTTGCTGAACGGGCATGAGGAGCTGGATGTCATCAGGGAACAGGTTGATTGAACCATCTGGCTTTTGCAATCAACCCCTGGCAGCAGGAAAATCTTTGCCATTATGAAGTCAGCCCTTTGTTTCCCTGCAACAGAAAGGCCCAAGGCTTGGGTTTCCTCCACCACTATCTCTCACCTCTAGGCATAAGCTGCCTCTTAAATCAAGCCAACATCCAGCAAGTGGCCTTAAAATAAGTCATGCGCTTTGGTAGCAGCGCAGCTACACCAGTTCTGATACTACTACTCCTCACAAACTCGCTCAAAAGTTCCCTCTCCTCACTCTGGGGGTTTGGGTCGCCCTTCAGATGAACTCTGACCATTATTGGCTGGTTTGGAAACGTTATATTCCATTTTAGCTTTGACATATGCAATAAAACCAATGAGCCGAGCAAGACTCATCTGGTGCCGCCTTCACGCTGGTATGCTCCCAGCCCTGAAAAAAATCTCATCTTTCAGCAGCAGCAGAGCGAAATTCATCTTCCCACAGCAAAATCCCTCTTCCCAGGTTGGAGGGGAGTTGTTTGCTCAAGTAACATGCTTTGTCTGGCCTCCCCTCCCCTGCCTTCACCACGCAAACAAGCCGTCACTGCACGGGGCCTGCGCGGGCTTGACCACGCAGAGGGAGCGGCACCAACATTTCAACAAGGACAGGGTGAAGGAAATCTCCACTGTAGGCTGTAAGCAACTCCAGCTGAATGAAGAAACCTCGGGGACTTGGGACCACAGAGGTGGCATTGGGAACTGCACTTGGGAAAAGCAGAGGGACGGGGAGGCAGCTCCTCACACCCTCAGCACACCCGAGGCACGAGTGACTCACCATCACCATTTCCTCAGTCTCGAGGTTTATTTAACCTTAGAAAGCAAGGGCTGAGTGTGGGGGGGCTCAGCTGCCCAGGGTGCTGTGAAACCCCCCAGGGGAATTCCTTTATCCCACAATACCACAACCCAGGACTGTTCCATGAACTGCTCAATGCCAAAGTTTGAGCTTTTCTACAAAATATTTTACTGTGTCTTGTACCCAGGTGTAAACCTGCAAGGACCAGGAGACAGACCCCTGCATCTCTCTAACCCTGCATCCAGACCCCCTGCAAGGGCTCCCTCGGTCTCCACACAACCACTCACCATCCCAGGTCAGTCAAACCCCAACACCCTCTGAGGCCTCACAGGCAATTTCTCCAGTTTAGGTTTTTAAGCTGCATTCCTCACATCAACCTCGTCCTCGGGCCGTGACTCAGCCCACAAGGGCAATTTCCTTCCCCTCCTGACACACACGGGTGTTTCCCCGGTGCCAGCCCAGCTGCCCTCCAGCCATGTACCCACAGAACAGCTGCTGGGTGCTAGTTGCTTGGAAGGAAGAAGCCTCCTTGCTCTCAGCTCCACCATGGGGAGCCTGGAGAGCAGCTCCAGCTCCACAGTGCCCTCCTGGTCTCCTGCCCGGGGCTGCTTGGCAAGCAGAGCAGTGCCAAGGAGGGGTTAGAAGCAAAGATGCACCACTGGGTAATACTTCTGCAAAAACTTACCTTTTAAAGATGGATTTAAAAGTTCACTAAAGAGATAAAGCTCAGCAGAAAAAAAAGCCAGAGTCTTATTCCCCATTCAAACCTGCAAGAGGGGTTTCACACCTGGCATAAGCCTTAAAGAAAAGGAGGAGTTCTACTATCAGAGTAGTGCTGGAGTTACACAGCGCTGCTGCAAGGAAGGCAAAGGCTGGCAGGGCTGGGCTGCAGAGCCCTCGGGATTTCAGGCTTGCAATGCCACCTCGTGGGAATCACTGCAACTCCTGCCGGGCTGGAGCACAGCAGGAGCCCGAGCAGGAGCTTTTCCAGCTGAGGAAGCCCAGCTTTAACACCTTCCCACAACATCCGTGGTGTTACAGTGTTTTCCTGCCACTGAAACCTTTAATTCTGAGACTTCCACAGGACAAGAGGAGCTTTGCACAACTCACAAGCTCCCAAATCCAGACAGTGCCTCCTCCTGCACTGTGGGAACAGAGTTAAAACAGGAGTGCTTTTTGGAAGGCACGTCAAATATCCTGAAAATTTAATTTGGGACTGCAACAACGTCTTACTTAAAGGCAATCACTCAGATTAATTTTGCCTCTGTTAAACCTGTTTGGCTGTTATTGTGTTTACAGAAGAGCTGACATGGCATTTATCACTGCACATCCAGAATTAAAGCACATACCAGCATTCATGTGGAATTAACTGTGGGAGGTGATTCTGCCCCTCTGTGCAGGTGAGACTTCACCTGCAGAGCTGCCTCCAGCTCTGGGACCAACATCAGAAGGACGTGGAGCTGCTGGAGCGAGTCCAGAGGAGGCCACAGAGATGCTCCAAGGGCTGGAGCCCCTCTGCTCTGGAGCCAGGCTGGGAGAGATGGGGGTGTTCACTTGGAGAAGAGAAGGCTCCAGGGAGACCTGAGAGCCCCTTCCAGTGCCTAAAGGGGCTCCAGGAGAGCTGGAGAGGGACTGGGGACAAAGGCCTGGAGGGACAGGACAAGGGGGAATGGCTTCCCACTGCCAGGGGGCAGGGTTAAATGGGATATTGGGAAGGAATTCTTCCCTGTGAGGGTGGTGAGGCTCTGGCACAGGTTGCCCAGAGAAGCTGTGGCTGCCCCAGCCCTGCAAGTGTCCAAGGCCAGGTTGGACAGAGCTTGGAGCAACTTGGGATAGCGGAAGGTGTCCCTGGCCATGGCAGGGGGTTGGCATGAGATGAGCTTTAAAGTCCCTTCCAACCCAAACCATTCTAAGATTCCATGATTAAAACTGAAGTACCTGGCCTGCCCAAAGCCCACACCTGCTTCCCAGCAGGGGCTGGAGAGCACCACCACTACAGGACACTTTTCCACCATGACAAGAATCCCTCTCACAGAGTGACAGCCTTCCACTGAAGCTCCCCAGTGTGTCCATCTGTCCTTGTCACAGTCTGTTATTCACAGAGTTTGGTAACACACAGATGTGTGAAATCAGCAGGGAGATGGGGCCAATCCCCCCAGCACTCGAGGTTAACCCCTCAAACAGGAGCTGCCTGCCCTTACCAGGAGACAAAAACAGAGCCTGTGAGGTGCCAACCCTGGGATGAGCAGGAGCTGCACGTGCTCTGCAGAGGCTGTTTTCAATTTAAACCTTCTGGGAAGAGACAACTCTTACCTGAGTAACTGACAGCAGTGACAAAAACCCATGGAAAGCCCTGGACCCCCTAAGCCCCTCTGCACCTTTATACCAAGGCACAGGTGAAACAATGGCTGCTCAGCAGCTCACGAACTGAGCCACGTGTCCATGGTGTGGGGGAAAGGGAATGATATGGAACAATATCCAAACCCTGGGAGTAAGACATTTCCTTCAGAGCAACAATGAGCACCCAACCTCACCAGCTGGGCCTGCTGTGCTGCTGTCACCAAACCACAGCTGGGGTGGCAGAGCCATGTTCAGCAGCAGCACTTGTCCATGTCGCTGCATCCTGGCCTCTGGAGCGGGCAGGAAGCACATCCCAGCATCCCAGCCACTCTTCCCAGGAGCCCAGGCCCAGGGCACTCACCGCTCAGCTCCGGGGGAGGGCTCAGGTAGAACGTGCAGTAAATGTCGTTTTGCATCTGCAGCTCCGCCTTCATCGCCTTCTTCAGCAAGTCCGGGATCTTCTCCTCCTGGAAAGGAGTCTTTTCCAGGATGACTACAGCATCTGTCCCCTCTCCAGAGAGGCCAATCCTCTGGAATAAAAAGGGATAAAACGGTCAGCAATCACAGATCCAGTGCTGGGTGGGCAGTTTGAGGTCAGGGACCACAGCACACACCTCACAGCCCCTCAGTCCTCGTGTCCAAACCCCCTCCTAGTCCAGCCCATCCAAAACCAAGAGGCATGTTTGTCCTGAGGCACAGCAGGAATTTGCCCCTCATCAGGGAACACAGGTGATTCCTGAGGGAGCATGGGATGTGGGTAATGACTCAGCCTACCTGCACCTCCCCGGATGCTCCCAGGATCCCCACACACAACATCCCTGATTTCATCTTGGATGCTCCCCAGCTGACCGGGCACAGACAGAGGGCCAGGAAGAGGGCAGAGACAGGTGTAGGGATTTGCACCATGGACAGGGAGCATGTTTTGGGGCAGGGAGCACTCACTGCTGCCCTGCTCCAAGGAACCACAGCCCTGATCCGGACATGGGCTCAGCAGGGTGGTTTTGGGAGGTGCTGGGTGTGGAACACCCCCCACCTCGAATCACTCCTGCCTGTACAGGACCCAGGTGAGGCCTCACCACATAACCCAGAGAGAGCAACAGGGTTCACCTGGGGCTCCCAACCCTGCCAGGCTCACAGGGCAGAGAGGAGATCTGAGACCAGTTGTTCCCCACTGACCAGCAACGCACTGTCTCGAGACTGGGATGCATATCTCCAGAAGCCAGGAGTTGAAGCATGGTTCCCACGCCACAGCCAGGCTCTCTGGCCATAAAGCTCCTGGACTTAAAACAAATTTCCCTGTAATGGCACTCAATGGACACGTCTATACTATTTACAGCCCCAGAGCCAGCATCCTACTCGCAATTCAACACCACTTTACCCGGCAGGCACAAAAAACCTGCTCGGACCCAAAAGCAAGTTATACCAGTAAGAAAGAATAACCCGAGGCCTGCAATAACGGGCAGCAACCGCCCCCTGCCCCGGTTTGGCTGGATTTGGGATGGGACGGTCGGAGGGTCCCTGAGGGCTGGACCTGCCGGGGGGCGTGGCCTCGGGAAAGGGCGTGGTCTCGATGAAGGGGCGTGGCCTTTACAGCGCGCGCCACAGGTGGGCGGGGCCGAGCCTTCAGCGCGGAACATGGCGGCGGCCCCAACCGCCCCCCCACCCCGCCGCCGGTACCTCCGCGTGCAGGAACATGGCCTTGTCCCGCGCCGACTCCCGCAGGACGCGCCGCACCCGCAGGTCCGACAGCGAGAAGGCGGCGGCGGCCCCGCCATTCTCATTCTCGCCCTCCTCCTCCGCCCGCTTCCTCTTCAACTGCGGGGTCTCCGCCATGGCGCGCGCGCGCAGAAGTGCGCATGTGCTTCGGGACCCGCGACCTAAGAGCGCCCCTTGGCGGCCCGGAGGTCTCACGCGCCTCCCCCTCCCCCCATCCTCCTGGCTCCTTCTCCCACAAAACCCACGAACTGGGGATGGAGACAAAACTAATGAATCAGGAAAGCCAGAAAAATTTAAAACTTCTGCATTTTCGTAGTCCCGACGATCCCGTGCAATGTCTACCCTGCCTTGTCCTGCCTGCAGCCCAGCGGGCGCCATGTCAGCCCAGCGGGGGTCCCGGGGGTGTCAGAGCCCCTCAGGACAGGGAACACCAGCGCCACAAGGAGCTCTGGAGATCCCCAGACCCACCCGATGTCAGAGCTTAGTGTTTGCATGATGGATGTCCCTGTCCCTGTCCCCACCAGGGGGTTTCAGCCACTGGATGGAGGTCACACCACTGTCCCCCACGGAGGTGAGGAACATCCCGTTCTTGCTTCCCAGGTCTGCTCAGAGTGGCTCAGTGTGGTGGGTCCATCGGGACGTGGCTGCATCCAGACCGTGATATCCATGGGGATGCATCAGCCTGCTCCCAGCACTACTCCATCCCACTCGTGGAGCTCCGGCACAGCTCCTGAAGGTCTGCAAAGCAGATAAGCCCCATTAGCAACCAATTTACCTAAAAATCAACTCTTTAAATAAACTTATGGCATCTGGTCACTTCCCATGGTCCTTATCCCAACAGAGTGATGTCTGACCAGCATCCCAGAGGATACTCACAGTGCAGGACGGTGTCCCTGATCTGCCTGAAGCTGTTCTCCTTCAGCGCCATGGAGATGTAGTAGATGTTCCGCAGCTCCTTGGGGTACTCCCTGCGATCCACGCCCCTCAGCACCGGGATGGTGCGCCCGTTGGCCATGGGGGCCTCGGCCAGCGCCTGGTGCATCTGGAACTGGCACCAGGGGTCCCTCAGGAAGGCGGGGGTGATGAGCAGGACCCAGCAGTGGCTGCCCCTCACGGCGTCGCACAGCTCCGTGCCCAGCGCGCTGCCCGCCACCGCGTCCCGCAGCTGCAGGAAGCAGCGCAGGCTCTCGGGCTGCCCCTCCAGGTAGGACACCAGCTCCTCCACCAGCTCCAGGTCCTCCTCGCTGTGGCACACGCACACGTCGTAGCTCTTGCCCCACCGGGGGCTGTCCGAGGCGCTGATGTCCGGCACCGGCACGGGTGACAGTGGGATGGAGCTGGTGGCCGAGGAGCTGGAGCTCTTGGCAGAGGAGGAGGAGGAGGAGGAAGGTGAGGATGAAGCGGAGTGGCTGGAGTTGAGGCTGCTCTCCACTGAGCTGGGCTTGGGCTTGTGCAGGAGCCGCCTAAACCAGCCTGTGGAGTGAGACTGCAGTGAGGTCTGGGGGGCTCAGCACCCCGTGGGCTTCCCAAGCACAGCATGGCCAGATCAGCAGGATGCCTCCAGATGGGAAGGGCTGGGCAGGATCTCACTCTGACCCCCCAAAACCACCCTGGTCCCAAAACCTCAGCTACCATTGACACCTGGACGCTGTCACATCACGGAGGGGATGGAGCCAGAGGGTTTATTCCCACACTCACCAGCCATAGTGGGCAGCACGCTGCTCAGCTGCCCGTGGCCAGTGGGAATCCTCTCCTGGGAGCAGAAAAGAGGGATAAAACACATATATGAGGAGAGCAGGAATGGTTCTGTGGTGGGTCTCATCCCCAGGAGCTCAGCAGGGTCTGTTCCAGGGAATGTAGAGCTCTGAGGTGTTCTCAAGCAGCCCCAAAATCACCCCCAGCAGGGTTTTCCACATCTGCCTTCCCAAAATTTGCTGTGAAGGAGCGTTTCCCTGTGCTGGAGATACACACCTGCAGTGAGCAAGGCCAAGAGCCAACAGGCAGGAGAGACCCTCATTCCTGGCAGCGGGGAAAGGATCCTGTGGAAGGGAGAAGGATCAGCAGGGATCACCAGGGATGGACTGGCTGCTGGCAAACCAGAGACAGTGTGGGTGATGCCCAGAGCTGTGCATCCTTAGTGCCATCTGCCATTCCTGCCTGTTCTCTGCCAGGTCCTGCCATCCCATACCCTGGCATCGTGCTCCTGACACTGTTTGAGGTGCCCAGACCCTCCCTGAGGGCACCCAGGAGCAGCAACATGGGGAACAGCTGCTGTTTCCCACTGCTGGCATCATCCCTCCCAAAACTATACACCCCAAGTCACACTGAAGCCTTTCCCCTACTCCAAGAACAGAGCAGGACTTGGAAAATGCAGCAGGACCCCGGCACAGCCATGGAAACCACAGCGCCCCAGTGTATCTGGAACAATGAGCATGGACAGTGAACAGTGTGGGGAAATTTGGGAGATACCCACCTGGAATGCAGGGGTCTGGCACCACAGCGGGGAAGGGGGATGCATCAGCCCCTGGGTTCGTCAAGAAAAAAGATCTGGGATTACCTAGGTGGGAAAAGAGGGATAGAATGCAGTGTGTTCACTCTGGAGTCCGCTGGGATCCACAGTGAGTGGCAAGGCTGATCCATCCTTACCGCTTCCACATCCAGAAGTGCTTCCCAATGAAACTGCCCCAAGGTGGAAGGGAGGACAGGGGCACCCACCAGCTTCTCAGGGACAGAGTGGAGGAGCTGCCCCGTCTCTCCAGTGCCCGCTCTCCAGAGTGCCCCTGGCTGGCAGCAGCTCCAGCCTCGGCCCGGGCATGTGAAAGCGGGCGGGAGAAGTGAGCTGGGACCGCGGGGAGGGGAAGCCCGGCCTCCCCAGGGCCTCCCTCCCACATCCGCCACTGCCCTCACTGCCGGTGTGTCACCGTGCCCAGCCCTCCCGGCACCTGGACCCGCCCACTCCCTGCTTCCATGTCTGCCACTCCCGCTTATTTAAGAGTTAAATTTACCAGAAAAGGTATTTTTTTTCCCCCAGAAATCCTCCCTGTATCTCTCCTTTCCCAGGTCACATCCGCCCGTTGCTGCTGGTGGCAGCCACTGCCTTCATCCCCTCATCACCCTCAACCCCTCCGACCCCGCGGTTCCTCCTCCATGCCCTGGGGGAGACAGGCTCCAGGTGAGTCTTGGTGCCACCTTCCAGGGATTTGGGGGGGTCTCGAGGGGCTGCATGCCCACCCAGCTCCCTGACAGGATGTTCCTGGCATGGGGCTGCCCAGATGTGTTCCCCATGTCTCCCATGCTGCGGGACAACGTGGTGACCTCTGAGGTGGACACTAAAGCCTCCACCCACCATGCCTGAGCTGGTGGCTGGGAGTGATCCAGGAGGTCTCCCACACCCCCTGTGACACCGGGAGGTGGATGGCTGGAGGTCCAGCCCCAGTGCTGAGCCTCTCCCACCTCACCTTGAATGACGGCAAAGCCCCCCTGACCTCCAAGCGCCTGCAGAGGCTCCTGGTATCCCTGGGACCCCTGAAGAAGACAGCCCTGGCACTCATACAAGAGCATCTCCAAGGGGAGCACGGGGAGGTCCTGAGCATGAAGATGGGTCAGCATCTCCCACTGTTCACCTGAAGCAGTGATGGCCATCACACCCTCACTGCACACAGTACTGTGACTGCAACTGTGGGGCCCCCACCCTGGAGGAGCTGGGCCAGGGCCCCACCAAGGTGGGTCCTCACCTCTACCCCAGCACAGAGAATCATGGAGTCCCAGAATGGTTTGGGTTCAAAGGGATTTAAAGCTCATCTCATCTCATTCCACCCCCCTGCCATAGGCAGGGACACCTTCCACTTAGATCAGGTTGCTCCAAGCCCCGTCCAACCCAGCCTTGGGAGACAGCAGCACTCACTTGACTCAACACATTCATGAAGAGGATGGTCAGCGCCCATCACCCACATTTCAGGGCTGCTTCACCTGCCCCCACCCCAAAATATGACCCCAGTGCCCCTCCATCTGCTTGCAGGTCAACTTGGATGACAAACCCCCACACCTCCATGCCTGGAGGCAACTATTTCCTTCAGGGATAAGCCCCAAGTTCTCTGACCTCCCCGAGGTCACAGCTCGTCCTCTTGTGACCCATTTCCCATTAATCCCCGCCCTGACACTGCTGCCACCGCCCCAAAAACCAACTCCCTGCCCGAGGACACGGCCCAGAGGAGGGCGAGTCACCTGCCCGTGTGAGTCACCTCACCTGGAAACCCCCCCGAGCTGCCCCAGAGGGGGAACCTGAGCGAGGGTGAACCCACAAACCCGAGTCCCGACGGGCAGCACCTCCACCCGCATCAGCGATAACGTAACCACTCTTAAAGGAGTAATTAAGAACAATTAAGCAGGCACGGCTCGATTCACAGCGTGCCTGGACCCACCAGCACCACGCTGAAATCCCTGCAGCGCGAATTTCAGGTCAGTCATCACGGGGAGCCCGCGGTTTGCGAGATTGCCTGGGGAATTAGGAAATGGTGAAGACAGGGTGCTGCAAGGCAGGGTCAAACAAAGGTGTTCGGGTGAGAAAATAAAGCCGATTTCCCCCCTAAATAGACGATCAACGTGCTTTCACTTCTGACGCCAATACAAAGCGATGCGCAGCTACTCAGAAGCCAAAGAATAGCTTTTCTTCTTGGAAAGCTCCAAATACACCCAAATTCCGACACATAGATGCCTGAAGGCATCGTAGCGGCCCCTCCAGGGCCGGGCACCACTTGTACCTCGCTGGGGTCGCGCAGACACGAACGCAGGCGCTGGCAGGTGACGGAAGGGGTAACAGGGCACGGGGGCACACCCAGGCCCACGACAGCTGTCCCAGGCAGAGGAGTCAGACTCGTGATGCCAGACCCGGCTCTTCACACCGACACGCGCCAACCACCACCTCACAGTCCACAAGTGCATCACGCATGCGCCCGCCGCATTTTATAGCTCCGCGAAGCCTCGCGAGAGCACCCGCCGTGTTTCCCACGCCAGATCCCGCCCCTTCCGCTGACAGCCAATGGGAAGGCGGGGCGAAAGGGGGCGGGCCAATCGCCGCGGGGGAGGCGTGGCCGGGCGCGAGGCGGCTGCGCGCGGCGCGGCGGCGCGGCGGCGTGTCCTCAATGGGGCCGCGCGCGCGGCGCCAGGTGCGTCTGGGGCGCGTGCGGCGGGGGTGGTTGCCATGGGGACGGGGCGGTTGCCATGGCGACAGCGGCCACCATGATATCGGAGGGGGGGGGTCCCATGGCCGCCGTGAGGG